CTCCTAGTTTCTGTATCAAATCTAAGTCCTCAGTACTATATTCCCAGTTCATTAGCTGGGTCCGTCCTGGTTCAGTTAAGATCGTGACGGTGAGGAGCTGGGGGCCCACAGCGGCCTGTTTAGCAGTCTCATCTGCAAGACGATTGCCTTTTGCCTCTGCACTGTCTCCTCTTTGGTGCGCTGGGCAGTGCACGATGCTCAATTTCTTGGGGAGGAATAGGTCCTTGAGCAGGGCCAAGATCTCAGTTTTATTTTTAATTTCCTTGCCCTCTGAGGTTAGGAGTCCCCTCCTCCGGTAGATTTCCCCATGTACGTGGGCGGTGGCGAAGGCATACCAGCTATTGGTATATACATTGAGTCTCTTACCTTCTGCCAGCTGGAGCGCCTGAGTTAGAGCGATGAGTTCCGCCCGCTGTGCGGAGGTGCCTCCCGGAAGGGCGCTGGCCCAGACTACCTGGTTTTCGGTGGTCACTGCTGCTCCTACTCGTCGTTCTCCATTGAGCAAGTAGCTACTGCCGTCCGTGTACCACGTGTGGTCCGTGTCTTTTAATGGCTGATCGGACAGGTCAACTCTGGTCCCATGTGCTTCCGAGAGGATCTGCAGGCAGTCGTGGGACGTAGGGCCCTCTGGCAGTGGCAGCAGAGTTGCAGGACTAAGGGCGACTGCTGGGCCGAAGCGAATCCTATCAGCGTCCAGGAGCAGGGACTGGTAATGGGTCATGCGGGTGTTGGACAGCCAACGATCAGGAGGCTGGCAGACGATAGACTCAGCCGCATGTGGTGCCAGTACAGTTGATGGCTGTCCCAGAGTCAGCTTTGTTGCGTCCTTGACGAGGATCGCAATGGCCGCCACCATTCTCAAGCAAGGGGGCCATCCGGAGGCTACTGGGTCCAATTTCTTGGACAAGTAGGCTATGGGTTGCTTCCATGGCCCGAACCTCTGGGTCAAGACCCCCTTTGCAAAGCCTTGCTTCTCGTCCATGAATAGGTTGAAAGGTTTGGTTATGTCGGGCAAGCCCAAAGCCGGAGAGGAGAGTAGGGCCCATTTAATGTTACTAAAGGGCTGCTGTTGTGCCTCTGTCCATTCAAAGGGAGCCCCTTGTTTGGTTAGGGGATACAGAGGAGCCGCCATTTCGGTGAATCCGGGGATCCACAACCTGCAGAACCCGGCAGTGCCCAAGAATTCTCTCAGTTGCCGGTGAACCCGGGGAACTGGGATCTGGGATATAGTTTCCTTGTGCGAGGCCGTTAGCCAACACTGTCCTTCTTTTAATTTGTACCCCAGATAAGTCACTTCCGTCTGGCAAATTTGGGCCTTCTTGGCGGAGGCTCTGTACCCAAGATGTCTGAGGGTTTGTAGTAGGGCCCCGGTACCTTTAAGACAGTCCCGTTCGGTTGGAGCTGCCAGTAGGAGATCATCCACGTACTGGTGTAGAATCAGGGATGGGTGCTGAACCCGGAAGTCCACAAGGTCCCAATGTAAGGCTTCATCGAAGAGAGTGGGGCTGTTCTTGAATCACTGGGGGAGTCGCGTCCAGGTCAATTGTCCTGAAATTCCTAGTTCGGGTCCCTCCATTCAAAAGCAAACATTGGCTGGCTCTTAGGGCTTAGCCAGAGACAAAAGAAGGCATCTTTTAGGTCTAGTACCGTATACCACGGATGAGTGGGTGGTAGGGTACTCAAAAGGTTATATGGGTTGGGCACTGTGGGGTGTATATCCTCCACCCTCTTATTAACTTCCCTAAGATCCTGTACCGGTCCGTAGTCGCCTGTGCCAGGCTTTTTGACGGGTAGAAGTGGGGTGTTCCATGGTGACCGACAGGGAGTTAAGATCCCCTGGTCCAAGAGTCTTTTGATGTGAGGCTTAATTCCTTGATAGGCCTCATTAGGCATGGGATACTGTTTAATTGAGATGGGTGTAGCTGTTGCCTTTAACTCAATGACAATGGGAGGTTGTTGTTTGGCTAATCCCATGCCCCCGGTTTCGGCCCAGGCCAAGGGAAAATCTTCCAGCCAAGAGTCTATCTCAGGTTTCACTGTAGGTTCCCCCTCAAACAATCTGTATTCATCTTCCATTTTGAGAGTTAATACTTGGAGAGGGGCTCCATTTGGGTCTGACACTGTGGCCTCATTCCCCTCGAAATGGATCTGTGCTCTGAGTTTGGTCAGTAGGTCTCGTCCCAGTAGTGGGTATGGACAGTCGGGGACGTGGAGGAAAGAATGAGAAACCTTACTAGTAGCCAAATGTACCTTCCTTTCAGTAGTCCAATGGTATCACCTTCCACCGGTGGCCCCTTGCACCCAGGCTGTCCGTCCGCTGAGTTGGCCCGAGGAGGTGGTGAGGACGGAGTGCTGAGCTCCGGTGTCGACTAGGAAGGTGACTGGTTGCCCCCCGACTCTGAGAGTTAGCCTAGGCGCGGGTGGGGCCTCCCAGCCTTGGCTCCCTAGTCTTCATCTAAAGCCAGAAGGGAGGTTTCCGGCCGCGGACCCTTTGGTTTTCGGGGTCGCTTTGGGCATTCTCTCACCCAGTGGCCTTGCTCCTTGCAATAGGTACACTGGTCCTGCTCCACCCTGGGCCTCCTTTGGTCTCCCTGCCTATGTGACCTATTGCTGTTCTGCACTAAAGTGACCAAGAGGCGGCTTAGCTCCTTACTTTGTTTACGGTCCCTAGCTGTCTCCTTCTCTTCAGTTTCTCTGCGTATACGGTCCTCTCTCTCTTCTACAGTCTCCCTCTTATTATAGATATGTTCTGCTTCCTTTAGTAGATCCTGGATGGTGTAGCCCTGTAGTCCATCCAGCCTCTGTAACTTAATCCTAATGTCAGGCGCCGACTGCCATATAAATGCCATGGCCACGCCGGTAGCCTGTCCCGGTTTGTCCGGGTCATAGGGAGTGTACATGCGATAGGCTTCCTTGAGTCTTTCTAGAAAGGCGGCAGGAGACTCTTCGGAACCCTGAATTACTTGCTTTACCTGTGCCAAATTGACTGGGAGTCTACCGGCCCCTCGGAGGCCCGCTATGAGCAACTGGCGATAAAGGCATAGGTGTCCCCTACCTGCATCTGTGGTAAAATCCCAGTTGGGTCTGGTCAAGGGGAAGGCGGCATCAATCTCATTCGGTAGCTGAGTCAGCTGTCTGTTCTCCCCTGGCACATTCTTCCTTGCTTCTAGAAAAACCCTGTTTCTCCTCTGAGGTCAGGAGGGTTTGCAAGAGCTGCTGGCAGTCATCCCAAGTAGGTTGATGAGTAATTAATATAGATTCTATTAAATTAGTCAAGGTGACAGGATCCTTGGAGAAAGGAGGGTTGTGCTGTTTCCAGTTGTATAGGTCAGAGGCAGAGAATGGCCAGTATTGCAGTTGGCCGTTCCCTCCTTGTCGTAAGGGGAATGCCTGGGAGGTAATCTCTGAGGGCAGTTGGTCTCTCCGCCCCCGGAGACGGCCTGCAACTGGGGAGTTAGGAGGTGAGTAGGTGACGCTCCTCTGGTCTCCCACTGGGGGCGTCTGTTGAGCTCCTATCGGGACTGGCTGCAACGGAGGCGGGTGATAGGGAGGGGGGGTCATCAGAGAGCAAATCCATTAGGGGGGAGTTAGGATCCGGGGGAAGGACGGGTTTGGGAGATCGTTCCCCGGGTGAGGGTAGGGTACAGGGATGAGAAATAAGAGGGAGCTGGGGGAGCAGAAGGAGGAGGAGGAGGAAGTGCCATAGGAGGGGGGAGAGAAGGAGAGTGTGCCGTAGGAGCGGGGGCAGAAGGAGCATGTTCCGGAGGGGCAGGGGGAGAAGGAGCGGGTTTAGGAGAGACAAAGGGAGTGACCCATGGAGGTGGGTCGTAAGCCAAGTTCTCCCAGGTTACGATGCAGGCGACCTGGTCTGGGTGCCTATGGGATCCTTTGGCAAAAAACTTCTCTTTGACCTGCAGAATAGTATCAAGGTTAAAGGTGCCGTCCCTCAGCCAACCCACGTTAAAAGTGGGCCATTCCAAGGAGCAAAAGGTCTGCCACTTCTTTTTCTTTACATCGACTGCCTGGTTGCGGGTGCGTTCTCAAACCTCAGACCAGTGTCCTAGAGTTAGGCTTAAGGGGGTGGTTAGGGACTGTCCCATGATGACTTCAAATGCAAACAAGAACAAACAGACAGACACAATACAACAAGACAGCCGGCGACCAGACGCGCTGCACAGTTTCAGCGTAGTACCGGAAAAAAAAATTCAGATGGAGACTCAAGAACCAGAGGCCCTTGATTCTCCAATAGAGGGGCATATCCCTGAGATATACCATGGGCTCCGAAAAGTCGAGCCCCTACCTCTACGTCCCCTGGAACGTCTTCCAGGGTGGCGGGCGGAGAAGTCCGAGCTTGTCAGCTCCTTCTCAAGCCGCCCAGATACCGAGTGACCCGGATCTGAGTCATACAGACAACAAAACAGACACAGTTACCAACAGGGAACACTGATGCTGGCCAGCTTACCTCCCAGTGGGCTTCTGGTCGAGTTGGGCAGGGGTCTTCTGATCTCGGTGGGACCTCCAATGAAAGACCCCCCCAAAGGGAATCTTCCCTGCAGGAGACCCTCGCTCAAAAATCGAGACAGAGCCACTGGATGCAAAAGCAAGAGGGTTCTTTATTGCTCACACAGGCGCCTGCGGATGCTGCAGCACTTCTGGAGGCTGAGCATACCGGGCTGGATCCAGTACAACTTATATAGAAGTGGCTTTATTTGCATATCAAGTCCTGCGGACCTTGCAAGAACAGCTCTCAATCAGGTCCGGCAGGCTTGATATGCAAAATGAGGTAGAAGGTGAGAGCACCGCCGATAGGGTACTCGTCTTGGTGATGTCACAGCTTTTGAATTTCGCGCTCTTAGGAAGGGCACGGTTTACATTTGAATTTCGAGCTCTTAGAAAGGGCGCGGTTTACATGAGCGTGGCGGGGGTCTTTCAGGGGAAAGTTTCTACTTTCTGCATGAGAACCCAGATAAGGACAGACCAGGCCAACACAGAATTTAAGCAAAAGTAGTAAGTTTAATTAGTTAAAAACAAGTTTGGGGCAGGCGTTAGGGTCAGCATCACTTCTGGGAGCCAAGTCCTGAGCATGTGGGAGAAGTGACCAGATGCTCCCTGTGCACATCCCCCTTGTGCCTTCAAGCACAGAGCACAGAGTCCTCTGCCCAGCACCGGGTCAACTTCAAGCCAGCATTGGTAGCTCAGAGATCCACAGGGCGTTGGGTCCCCATCCATGCCTGCTCCACAGGCACCTCCAGATCAGAGTCACCTGAGGGGCATGCTGCACTGGGAGCCCAGGGGAGGGACTCAAAGGAACAAAAGGTCTTCAGAAGGACGATCTGTAAGGTCAGCATAAGAGGCAAAGGAAGATAAGAAAGCCAAGCTGTACCCAGGAAGGGAGAAGGCTCAGGACATAGACAGCCAGGATCACAGAAGCAGATCATCTGAAGATTACAGCTGAGCCGAGCAGGAGGCACTGCCAGACTAGAGACCTGGGGAACAAGCAGAGAATTAGATGCATAAAATTTTCACTGACGGTACAAGGGGCAGGGCCCTGAAGGGCTGTCATGACCTAGAGAGGACCAAGGAGAGACTGCTCAGTGAATCCCCACAGAACTGGGTGCTGGACCAAAAGGCTATGCTCCAGCCAGTCCAGCTCCAGCCCTGCCCCCGGGCCACTCTTTCCTCAGACAGGTAGAGCTGCTTCCAACCCAGTGTAGGTCCTCTTGGGCCAATAGCACCCAGCACTCCAGTGTGATTAAACTGGAGAGACAAGGTCACTAGGTTCTACTCCCATCACTGCTATTCCAGGGCTCTGTGGTCTCAGGACCTGCAATCCAATACCCAGTGTCTGTTTGCTTAGCTCTGACATGAAACACTGGACACATGGAATTTTTTCCAGAAATGAGGGTGACTCTGTGCTTATTGTTGGGTAAGCTCACAGCACTTATATCCAAGGGTGACAGGTGGCCACACAAGGAAATCCCAGGGAGAGACATCAGCACTCTCTTCCTATACAGAGAGAAAACCTTCTGGTGCCTGTCTTACCGACTTGGCCCTCCATCTGTAGGACTAGTTGCTCTACCTCGCCAATCTGCAGGAGAGAGAACAGCCATGAGGATCCTGGGTGACACACATCTAGCCAGCTCTAAAAGGCAATGACCATTCAGACTTGAGGCAGCACAGAGGGGAAGGGGGCAGAAGGAGATCTGGGGTGTGAATTCTATAGCCAGGGTTGAGCATTACTTCCACAGCTGCCCCACTATGCACAAATACCCACAGGTGTGCACGGATACCCCCCTCCCTCACCAGGCTGTCTCCACTCTATTGTATTATTAGCCTCCTCATGTAGAGAGGTCAACAACAAAAATATCTTCAAGAACTCCCTGAAACTGACCAGATTCACTAGGCCCCTCTCTGCCAGAGGAAGCAGAACCAAGCAGCAAAGACTCTCACACAAAAGGAGCGATCCAGCCAATCTGAAACCAGCCACTCTGCCTGGGAGGGGTTTAGCCCATCTGAGGCACCTGGAAAGGACACTCTCCAACCTGCTGAGCTGCCAGCAGGCTGTGCAGTGTGCTCCAGGGTCCCAGCTTTGTGAGCCTTCTGTCATCAGTGCTGGGTGTCCTTTGGTGATGCAGCTGTCTTTGAGTCATTTCTGCTCCTGTAAGTGATCCCTCACCCTCACCATATTCCTATAAGTGACTCAAATGAAACTTATTGCTTCACACAGATGAGCTGGCTGGTATCTGCACTTTTGTCTGCTTTGGGTTCTCTGCCTGGGGTGAGGAGATGAGTATGTTTTGCCTCCCAAGGAAAGGATTTGTCACACAACAACCCTCCCCAAAACCTCCACTAAAAATGGCCCTGTTAGAGTTTTTAAAGGAAGATTTGAATGAAGGAGAGGTGAGAATCTCCCTGGGGACAGCTGTTCCTGCCCCTCATCAGCTACAGCTCTCAGGGGAGTGTCCCCTCTGCCACACCTGGACAACACAGTAGCGCTGGCCCTAGGTGCAGCCTTGGGAGATCTGACCCTGAGGACATGAAACCAGGAAAACTGGCCCTGCCCCTTGCTCATCTGTGCAAGGGGTGACCTAGCCAGGGCAATGCTGGAGAGCTCACCCTATGGATGAGGACAAGGGAGAGCCGGCAGGCTGACAAACCCTGCCACTTCCCAGGCCCAGAACCAGGGTTTCTTGTTGGTCCTCCCGGACATCCACCCCATCTGTGATCTGCCTGAGCCCTTGAAGGGAGAGAAACTGAAGACTCAAAGGTGCAGGATTTCCACTACACAGAGCACCAGCAGGATAACCAGGAGGAGTCCAGTAAGAGCCCAGCATAGCTAGTGTAGCAGAAACCAAAGGCCTTGAACCAGACCAGTGACTCTGCAAAGAACAACTGCAAGTAAACACATACAGATAAAGGGGTTTCCTGCATGATCCCCACGCCACTCTACAGTTTCCATGATGAGATTAATTTTTCCTTATCCCTCCTTGTCTTCTTTTTTCTCTTAAATTATTTTCATTTTATTTTGGGAGAGGGGTAGCTTGCAGAGGATGGATAAGTAGGGGCAGGGAAGTGAAGGGTATGGAGATGCATGATGTGAGGGACAAAGAATAAATGAAGGACAGGAAAATACTTCCTGGGGTGAGAGAGGATGAGAAGCATTTGCATCTGACACCCACCTGCTGCAGCTTCCACTGGGAGACACAACACACTTACCCGGACATGTTCCTCTATTATCCAGAAGCTTGAGTCTGTCCCACTGTATGAAAAATATGAATATTTCTGCCACATCCTGGGGAGACATGTCACACTTGGGAAGTAGTACGAGAGGGGTATTTTGCAGCATTCTTCCACCCGCCACAACGTGACAGTTATACCGGCTCCAGGCTGAACGGAATGGTGGGGAGAGGTACATTAGGGACAGACACCATCAATCATACCTGGGTGCTGGACTAGCTTTTTTGCTTCAAAGGTCAAGATGGGAGGTTCAAATAGCCATAAACACAGCCTTGTCTCCACCATCTCTGTCTTCCCAGAGCCTGGGATGTCTGCTGCTCTTCTGCCTGGTCTGACCCTAACCTCCCTCTGCCCATCCCTGCTCATCCCCAGCTTCTCCCACACAGTAGCCACAGTCTCCAGACACACAGCACCTTTCACGGATGCTGGATTGCATGCTGGGGCTCTGTCTCAGCCATTTCCAGAGTTTTAAAAATTCTCCTTTGAAAACTGAGACAGATTCTGGACAGATGGCTCCATAGGTTAAGTGTACTATCTGCACAGGCATGAGGACCTAAGTGTGAATCTCCAACTCCCATGTAAAAACCAGGGTCATACATGTGCCAGGGCTGTGGAAAACTAAGACGGGAGGACCACCAGGGTTTCCTGACAGCAAGTCTAGCTCCAGATTTGATGGAAGATGCTGTCTCAGGACATAAGGTAGAGAGTGACAGAGCCAGTTACCTGAACATTCATTAAGCATAACACACATATGCACACACACACAGGGCACCAGGCAATGTTTTTACCAAATAAATGCAATGTGGTGTTGATGGTGAGCTTCAAGTGCCTTTAATAAATGCAAAACAGAAACCTTAGCCAGCATAGAAAGCAACAAAGTGAAAAAGTTGCTATAGCCAGGCATGGTGGTGGATGACAGAGAAACCTTGTCTTGAAAAACAAAACAAAGAGAAAGAAAAACAAAGGAAGGAATCAGCCACTATAAATTATAACCAAACACCAGTTAGACCACAGTGCAGAGAGCATGTCACAGACTCCTTACCACTGTCCTCCTGTCTTCCGGAATCAGCCGCTATAAACTATAACCAAATGCCAGTTAGACCACAGAGCAGAGAGCATGTCACAGACTCCCTACTGTGTCCTCCTGTCTTCCTGTGAATGCCTGCATTTTTTTCACCTGTCACACTGTGGCAGGTCACTGTCCTGGTTGTGGTCCTTAAAAGGTTTGAGAGTCTGTCCCCCTTTGGGTATTCTGACTTTATGTTTGCCGTGAAGGGGCATAACAGTGAAGAAACAGGGGCCACATTGATGGGCCACCTACTTATGTAGTAAACTACATTTTATTTGAAACTTCCATTGTCACTGGATGCTTTGAATCAAGGTGGCCCAGGGAGTGTTCCCAAGTCCTCACAGCCTGCAAAATTAAAAGCTTTCCTCTGAGGCCTCAGATTGAAAAAAAAACCCTCCTGATTCTTGCTGAGATCTCACTGAGAAGGTTCTGTCCCAGCCTGCAACTGTATGGGGGAAATCACACAAACACACACACAGTCACACAGTCACACTCACACTCTGACAGTCACACACACTCACACACACACTCAAATATATCACATAAGCACATCACACACACACACATAGTCACATTAAATTCACACATACTCACATACACTAGCACACGTATTCTCTCTCTGTCTCACACACACACACTCACACACTCATATAGTATGAGAGAGTGAGTCAGAATGTATGAGAGAGTGAGTTGTTAGAATGCATAAGAAAGTTAGTTGTGAGTAAGGGAGTTCTGAGATTATATGAGTGTGTGAGACAACCAGTGTGTGTGTGTGTGCCGGGGTTAGAATGGGAGTAACAGTGGAGTATGTGTGATGTGAGAGTGAGTGTGATGTGTGTGTGTGTGTGTGTGTGATGTATATATGTGACAGCCTGCAGAGGACAAAGGACAAAGGAGACTCAGGCATCTGCTCCATCACTTTCTCCCTCATGTTTTTGAAGTAGGGACTCTGACTCCGCCCCCACAGCACTGAAGTTATGGGCAGCAGAGACACATGGGGCTTTTTATGTGGCTGCTGGGATCCTAACTCAGGCTCATAGGTTTTGTTTGTTTTGAAAATTCATTTACTTGCTTTTGTATTTGTAACTTATTTGAGGCAGGATCTCTGTGTAGACCTGGACATCCTGGAAATGACTAAAAGGGCCAATGTGACTTTGAACTTAGACATCTCCTGCTTCTGCAGTGTGTGTGTGTGTGTGTGTGTGTGTGTGTGTGTGTGTGTGTGTGTATGTGTGTGTGGTAAATGCTACCATGCAAATTATTTCTTGGTATACTAACCAAGAGAGAACACACAGAGAGAGAAATGAAAGGAGAGAGTTAAGTAAGAAGGGAAGAGAAAAAAGAAAGACAAGCATAATGTTGGGCCTGGTGTTGCAACCTGGAATCCCAAATGACTCAAGAGACTGTGGCAGAGGAACAGAAGTGTCAGTCCAGCCTGAACTACAAAGCGAGTTCAAGGGTGACTCAATAGGACATTCCAGTGGATGTGTCCCTTAGCAACAGCTTTGTCTGGGAGCCTCAGATTCTCCTCACCCCCTTTAACTCAATTGTCCAAGAAGCTATTCTGGAAGCTGCATCTGCCCCTCTAGGCACACGTGGATCCAACAGCTACTTTAACCCAAGGCTGCCCAGAAGCAGGATGCTGGGAGACATGTGACTCTAATGAATTTATTTACTGAACAAAGTTTCTCATGGAAGCTGTCTTTTTTATATTCTCACTAACAGAATTCTTCTCTCACTTTTCTTTTAACTGAAAATATTTGGTGCTAAAACTTTCCCTACACTATTTGGTGTGGGTCTAAAGAAAATCACAATCCCAGCACTCAGGAGGCAGAGGCAGGAGGATCTCTGTGAGTTCGAGGCCAGCCTGGTCTATAGAGAGAGTTCCAGGACAGCCTCCAAAACAATACAGAGAAACCCTGCCTCAAAAAAAAAAAAAGAAAGAAAGAAAGAAAGAAAGAAAGAAAGAAAAAGAAAATCACATATCTACTTGAAGATTTTATTTTTATACTGCTACAGATGAATTATCCCCTTGTTAGGTTTCCAAACTATGACAAACTGAGGTTCAATAACATATCAAAGTTGGCCCCAGATGAAAGGGAAAAAGGATGAAAAAGGAAGGACGTGACTGCTCCTAGGTATGGAGGAGGAGAAGGTTTATTGTAGATAAAAGGGAGAGCACAGGCAGAGATGGAGACATCTGGGTGAGTTTGGAGTGAACATGACTGTGAGCCTGGCCACGTGAGGAGAGAGGGGAGAGGAGATGATGACCAAGTGGGGTGGCCTGGGCCAAGAGACTGGCACAGACAAAATGGCTGAGTTACATAGGAAAGGACCAGAGGAGTTGAGATAGGTTGCCAAAGTTGGGGGTTGGGGCTCAGGCCATGGACTGGACAATTATGGGAAGACTGCAAGGCAAGCCTGCCATACCCTGAAAAAGATAGGCAAAGGGGGATGCTGGGAGAAGAGGCCATGTTAACTGGCACCTCAGCCACTTGTCCCAGGTGTAAGACCAACTCCCTCAGGCAGACAGCAGGCAGAAGATACAAAGTATCTGCCACACCTATCCCAGGACTTTGCCCTCAAGTGACATCCCTGGTACTTGGGGAGCCGTTTTCATACCTAGAAATGCTCTTCCTGCATCATCACAGAGGAGTTTAGCCTCCCGGATTCCATGTTAGTCTAAACCCACAGCCCAGAGCAGTATTCAGAGTGATTATCTACCCCAAAACACACACCCTAGCACACCAAAACTACCCACAAGGTCAGGATACAGCCTCCCTGGTGCCCCAAAGCTCACCGTATTATGAATTGGATGGTCAGAGGTAAATCCCAGGCATAAAACCATCCAGAGTCTGTGGTACTCATCCCTGTAGTAACCAGGCGTGTCCCTGATAAGAGTGACTGGGTGTATCAGTGGAGCAGCAGCCATACTGAGGAGACCAAGGAGCTGGTAGATTCCTTAAAATGCAGTCCTGCAGGGGCAGAGGGAGAACTAACCACAGGTAGCAGCAGGAGCCAGGACAATAATGAATGAGAAACCCAGTTCTACCGGTGAGCCAGGAGCCCAAGTCCCTAGAAACAGCTGCCTGGCTTCACCAGGTGGCCTATATCCTCAGGCTAGCCCCTACAGGGCTCTCTGTTGACCCTGCCCAGACCCCCAGGGATTATTTCCTCAACACCTCTGCAACACATTTCCATCAGGAACCTGGCTGACGCCCCTGGATCTAGGACAGTGGCCCTCAGCCTACCTAATGCTGCTATCCTTTAATACAGGCCTCAGAGTGTGGAGACCCCCAACCACAAAATGATTTTTGTAGCTACTTCATAACTTCAAGTTTGCTACTGTTGTGAAACGTAATGTGAATACTTTGGGATATAGATGTTAGCAAGATGGTAAAGAGCTACAAATTTACAACTGAGGCTCTGGGTTATCTGAGGAAGACACACCTGGGTTTCTTCTGGAAAACAAGCCCGACCTCCTCAGATGTTTGTGATCAGGATCATGTAAAAGGTGACTGACTCTGGCAAGGGCAACTAGGGCTTCTAGCTAACCTTCTCCTGGATCCTGGAGTGTGACTACCCTAAGGGCCATCTCCTCAGCCCATCTCCTCACTTTTCTGAGGCCACAGCAGGGCAGTCACAAAGCAGCCCTGTGAGGACAGCACCTGTGCCCTGAAGACCGGCTCTGTGTGTCCTTTTTGAGAGCCTCAGACCAGATTCTTTTCACCCCACCCAGAATATATGGAACAGCTATGCCTGTCAGCATCCTCCCCCCATCCTTCCTTCCTTCCTTTTTCTCTCCGAAGGGTCTCATGTAGCCCAGGTTGTCCTCAGACCCAGTTGTAGTTGAGGATGACCCTGAATTCCTGGTCCTCCTGCCTCAGCAACTCTAGTGCTGGGATTTCATCTCCATGCCCAGTTCTCTGTGGGGCTGGAGATCAAACCCAGAGCTTAGCACAGGCTAGCCCAGCAAGACCCCTACTGCATGGAAACCCCTAGCCCCATGCAGGCATTTCCTGCTTGTTTTATGTCAACTTGACAGGGTCTTAGAGTCATCTGAAAGGAGGGAGCCAACTAAGAAAACGACTTCCTAAGATTGGGCTGTAGGCAACACTGTAGTGCATTTTCTTAATTAGTGATTCATGGGGAGGGGACAGCTCAGCCCACTGTAGGTGTGGAAAGCCCTGTGCTGGTGACCTGGGTCCTCTATAAAAGTATAGTGACCAAGTCATGAAGATGTACCTAGTAAGCAGCACCCCTCCATGGTCTCTTCCCTAGGTCCTGACTTATGTTCTGACCCTGCTTGTGTTCCTTTCCTAATTTTCTTCAGAGATGGACTACAGTGTGGAAGTGTAAGACAAGGAAATCTCCCCATGTTGCTTCTGGTCAAGGTGTTTCATTTCAGCAATAGAGACCCTAAGACACTAGGTACTGCATCTTTAGACTAGAGACTGCAGACCCCATTCCACAGAGGAAGAAACTGAGGCATGAATGGTATGGCCTAAGGTGGTTGGCAGTGGGATCCTGTGACTCACCTATTCTTGGTTCTGACGCTTTGCTGCCAATCTTAGCTGAGCCCCTAGAATTACTGGGTCACAGGTAGAGGCTGAGAATGTGTCTCTGGAAGGAATGATGTTCATGGAAGGTGGTCCTTTTGTCCTCTATCTAGTCATTGTCCCCACCATGGCTGACAGGAGGTTATGTATCCTGGCCAACCGGCCCCTCTCTGCTACCTGGCATGGAGAGATGTTGAGATGCAGCCCTCTGTCCATGGTGCTGCTCTTCCCCAGACATGAGCTCTGCCCAGCAATGCTGACCTCTCCCTGCAGAGGGGGCCCTTCCCAAGCCCCAGGAACTGAGCACAGGTGAATCAGCTGGGGTACAGGTGATTCCAGACCACAGACAGGGGGCGCTGTGCTGGCCTTGGGGGACTAAGACACGTGTGAGCAAGTCTAATGTATCAGGTGAAAGCCTGGAGATTTAAATTGAACACAAGAGGTTCAGCCATTTGTGCTAAGAGAATGTGTGCCTGTCTTATATTGTAAGGAGGAAGCAGCCTTATAGACAGACTTGCAGCACAGTGGAAAAACCTCAGGTGTAAGAGTTAGTGTTTTCATAATTAGAGGCTGATGCCCGTGGAGCAAGGTTGGGGCTGTAAGCCAGGACTAGAAAACAGGATACACACCTGTGGTTATTGGCTGACAAGCAACTCACAGAGACCCCATGGGGGCTGGGGCCCAATAGAAGAGCACTGTGCTATTGGCACACAACTCTCTGACACTCCAGGGTACTGGGCCAGACATGAGGTAGACAGCCTGCAGCAATAGGGCCTGGTTGGACTTAGACCTGAGGAAACAGCCACAATTTCAGATGCAGAGAGGGATCTGAAGTTATTAAGACATCACACAATGATGGGTGTCCTCAGGCTCCTGGGACAAAGGCTTAGAAAGTGACCTGGTGCTCGTTCTCTGGGTAAGGTTGTGCTAATTCAGGTAGAAAGAGGGGTAATTTCCATGTCTGTCACAGGGCTCTATTTCTGTTGCAGGCAATTATTGTGCCTAATTTTGAGCTGAAACTTCTGTCTGTAACAACTACAGATTTAAAATGTGTCCTCACAACTTACAGTGTCACCACTCCCCACCCCAAGGTTCGCTGTTCTTCTACATCACCTGTTGTGGTGGCCAGATTTACCTGTCAACTCAGGGTTCATGTTCAATTCAATGAGCTTGGGGTAAAGCAGACTGGCTTCCTTTAATGTGTGTGAGCCTCACTCAATCAGTTGAAGGATCTCACTAAGTGCCCACATGAAGAAACTGGAGAATAGCTACACTAGAGAATTAACAGCAAAACTGAAAGCTCTAGAACACAAAGAAGCAAACTCACCCAGGAGTAGTAGATGCCAGGAAATAATCAAATTGAGGGCTGAAATCAATAAAGTAGAAACTAGGAAAACAATACAAAAAAAATCAATGTAACGAAGAGTTGGTTCTTTGAGAAAATCAACAAGATAGACAAACCTTTATCTAAACGTACCAAAGGACAGACTGGGAACATGCAAATTAACGAAATCAGAAATGAAAAGGGGATCATAAGAATGGACACTGAGGAAATCCATAGAATCATCAGATCATACTTTGAAAACCTGTACTGCACAAAATTTGAAAATTTAAGGGAAATGTACAAATTTCTGGATAGATATCACTTGCCAAAATGAAATCAAGAACAGATAAGCAATTTAAATAGACCTATAACTCCTAAGGAAATAGAAGGAGTCAGCAAAAGTCTCCCAACCAAAAGAAGCCCAGGGCCAGATGGCCTCAGTGTAGAATTCTAATAGAAATTCAAAGATCACCTTGTACCAATTCTCCTCAAAGTATTCCATGCAATAGAAGCAGAAGGGTCTTTGCAAAACTCTTTCTACAAGGCTTCAATAACCTTAATACCCAAGTCACACAAAGACACAACTAAGAAAGACAATTTCAGACTAATATCCCTCATGAACATTGAAATACTCTATAAAATACTGGCAAATCCGATCCAAGAACACATCACAAAACTCATCCACCATGACCAAGTAGGCTTTATCCCAGGGATGCAGGGATGGTGCAACATACAAAAATCCATCAATGTAATCCACCATATAAACAAGCTGAGAAACAAAAATCACATGATCATCTTATTAGATACTGAAAAAGCCTTTGACAAAATCCAATACCCCTTTCATCATAAAGGTCTTAGAGAGATCCAGGACAAGAGGAACTTACCTTAACATAATAAAAGCTATATACAGCAAACCAACAGCCAGCATCAAACTAAATGGACAGAAACTCAACACAATTCCTCTAAAATCAGGAACAAGACAAGGTTGTCCACTCTCTCCATACCTTTTCAATATTGTACTTGAAGTTCTATCCAGAGCCATACGAAAACAAAAGGAGATCAATGGGATACAAATTGGGAAGAAAGAGGTCAAACTTTCACTATTTGCAGATAATATGATAGTTTACATAAGTGACCAAAAAAACTCTACCAGGGAACTCCTACAGCTGATAAATAAATACCTTCCGCAATGTGTCAGTATACAAGATCAATTCGAGAAAATCAGTTACCCTACAAATGGACTGAGAAAGAAATCAGAGAAACATCGCCTTTTACAATAGCCACAAACAACATAAAATACCTTGGGCGAACGCTAAACAAACAAGTTAAAGGCCTGTATCACAAGAACTTTGAGTCTTTAAAGAGAGAAATTAAAGAAGACACCAGAAAATGGAAAGATCTCCCATGCTCTTGGATAGGTAGGATCAACATAGTAAAAATGGCAATCTTACTGAAAGTAATACACATATTTAATGCAATGCCCATTAAAATTCCAACACAATTCTTCACAGACCTTGAAAAAACAATTCTCAACTTTATATGGAAAAACAAAAGACCCAGGATAGACAAAACAACCCTGTTCAACAAGGCAACATCCAGAGGTATCCCCATCCCTGACTTCAAACTATGTTACAGAGTTATAGTCCTGAAAACAGCTTGGTATTGGCACAAAAACAGACAGACCAATGGAATCCAATTGAACACCCAACATTAACCTATACATGAATGAATACCTGATTTTTGACAAAGAAGCTGATTATACAATGGAAAAAAGAAAGCATCTTCAACAAATGGTGCTGGCATAACTGGAGGCTGACATGTAGAAGACTGCAGGTAGATCCATGTCTATTACCATGCACAAAATTTAAGTCCAAATGGATCAAAGACCTCAACATAAATCCAGCCACACTGAACCTGTTAAAAGAGAAAGAGGGAGTCACCTTTGAACGAATTAGTACAGGAGACAGCTTCCTGAACATAACTCCAGTAGCACAAACACTAAGATTGACAATAAATGGGACCTCCTGAAACCAAGAAGCTTCTGTAAGGCAAAGGACACAGTCAGCAAGACAAAAGGCAACCTACAGATTGGGAAAAGATATTCACTAACCCCACATCTGACAGAGGGCTGATATCCAAAATTTACAAAGAACTCAAGAAGCAAGTCTCCAAAACACCAAAGGATCCAATCAAAAAGTGTGGTATAGAACTAAATAGAGAATTCTCAGTAGAGGAGTCTAAAATGGCTGAGAGACACTTAAGAAAGTACTCAACATCCCTAGCCATCTGGGAAATGAAAATGAAAACAACTCTGAGATACCATCTTACTCCAGTCAGAATGGCTAAAATAAAAAACTCCAATGACAGTTTATGCTGGAGAGGATGTGGAGAAAGGGGAACACTTCTTCACTGCTGGTGGGAGTACCAACTCATACAGCCACTTTGGAAATCAGTATGGAGATTCCTCAGGAAAATGGGACTCAGT